CTTTCCCTAGCAAGTAAGACAGTAACAGCAGGTGTATATATGTATTATAAAATGCCTGAGAAAGGCTAAGGAAGTGCTGAACAAGTAGAATGTGGTGTCTAGGTCAGGAGCCAAATGACAAAGCTCACAGAAGCAGATGAGTCTCTATAGGCACTGCAGCGTGCCAATGCAGTACCATCCTTTCAATACCAGCAGCTGGTTGGTTTCTAAGATTGTTAACTGTTGAGAAAAACCACAAGAGTCTCTGCTTGTAATCACACAAAGCTTAGTAGGATCACCTGAGCAGAGCAGACTTCAGCTGATGCTCTTATGGTCGCCATACCCAATTCAGCTTTGTTACAGTGAGCACTTGGCTACTCCCCTTTGCCCTGATCTGTCTACACTCTTGGAAATAAAAGTCAATTCCTGTTCTCCTGGATTGCCTAGCACCACATGGTGTCTTACTGGTCATATCTGAAATTAATACTCATTTTGTCCTATGTAGGTACTGCCTAATAGTGCAAGTGCCGCCAGAACTGTCATTTGTTGAGTGTCTCCACATGCAGTAAGAGTATTCATACACCCCTGAGAAGTCAGCCCCATAAGGAGACTAAAGGGTACTCCTGAAGGAGCAGATATGAATGGTCCTTGCCTTCAGTACCAGCTCAGTGCAAACACCCTTAGCACAGGAAAGGACTAAACAGACTAGCTACTGGTCTAGGTTGAGTTCCCTCCATGTTGCAGGAAACAGGCTTTTGAGTTAACACTAGACTGAGGAAGATGATAAACCCCATTTCCACATGCTGGCTTTTTTTCTGTGAAAGAAGGAAGTGCCTCTAGAGCTAGATATTCTTGTGAACCTTGTTTTTAGTTAGCTGCTTAAAATCCTTTGTACATCTGAGTTGTACAAACAAAATGTACCATTGTTCTCATTTTAAAAATGGAGAAGTGAAGAAGACCAGCCACAGGAAACACAAGACAAAGGGGATTTGGATACAGTCTTTAGTCTAAAGCACATTTGACTAATAAACACAGGTCTTTAGATTCCTTGTCCAATGTGTTAATCTCATGATCATCTTTCCACTCGAGTTGCATGAACAGATGTGCCCTAGCAATGCCTCTTCCAGATCTTGCTAAGAGAGCAGTAAATGCTTTCATGATCATGGTTTTTCTCAGACTTGCAAATATTTCAAGGAGTAATTTGATTTTTAGGTTGCATACAAAAATGTTTCTCTGTTTCTGGAGTGTTTTTTATGTTGCATCTTTGTTCTTGTATTCGTCTTTCTATTGCATTGCAGCTCAATAATAAGTCTTCCTTTTCTCATCCACCAGAACTGGAAAGTTGTTGTAACCATGACATGTGAGAACAACCCAGGTATGCCTGTGTAGTGCTTGTGCTTCTGCGTGTGCAGTGGATCATTGACCATATTCTACTCTGTAGGTTGACTCCTATGATGTAACTGTGGAAGAAGACCTTGGAGAGATTCAGCTAATAAAAATTGAGAAACGAAAATATTGGTACCAGGATGACTGGTACCTGAAGTATATCACTGTAAAAACACCAATGGGTGACTATTTGGAGTTCCCATGCTACCGCTGGATTACAGATGAAAAAGAGATTGTCCTTCGAGATGGAAGAGGTGAGAGCCATAAGAAGCGTGATTTTCTGCACAACATCCAGCATTCTTACACCTCTCCTTCACCTGTCCCCATGTACCTCCTAATCCTCTTTCTCACATCGCCAGTCCCCTTCTGTATCTTAGGGAGTGGGCTTTCCCTGCCAACTAGGACTGTTTTCTGGGCAGTTTGTTGGGATGACAGTTTAGCTGGATGTTTTAGGAAGCACGTACAAGGAAGAGTCCTTATGCTGGCTTGGTCTTAAATGTGACAGCTGACCCTGATGCCAAATTTTTGTCTGCTCCACATCTCTGTTTCTGGAAGACCATTTGATCTAATTAGAATTAGTGTCTTGTCCTTGTTTCATACTAATCTAAGTGGTCCATGATTAATTGCCTGTAAATTGTCTTGTTTTCTTGAGAGCAAAATAAAATCCCAAAGCAGGCTGCTCTGCAGGTGCAAGGACTGACTTGAAACGGCAGCTTCATTTTTCACCCCTTTTTCTTTACATGCTGTCAGGTCCAGGGTGAGATCGATACGACTGCTGCAAGTAGTGGTGAGCAACTGAGGAAAGGGTTACAGCACTTTTGCTCTCTGTTCAGAGTTCCGCTGGACCTGAAACCTGTATTTTAACTGTTTCTGACTGATCTACTTGATATGATCAGGGTTGGTGCAGTCATTAGTCTCTGAAGTTAGCGTGTTCCCCTTTGTGTTACCTAGGGTAGGTTATCTACTTTCATGGTCTGCAGCAAGAGTGCCTGAAAATAGCTGAAACAATATATGAGGTGATAGGAAATAATGTTTATCTTCCCATTAAGTTTTTGGCTACTCCTGGCCAAGGAATTTCACATTTGAAGCCTCTTGTCCTGTAATCACAACTAAGTGTCAGTTTATTTTTGGTCTTCAGAGGGACCTTCCCTTTTTCTTAATTTGAGTTATGATGACTGTAACACTTCCATGGAAAGTATGTTTGCATGACTTTCAGAGTACAGGGAGGTAAAGGACAAAAGCAAGTGAAACCTTATTGGTAACTCAGACACAACCAGGTGGAAACTGTTAGCCATGTATGTTATCACTCGTATTACCTCTGGTATTTCCAACTCCATACCCCAAGCAGCTATTTCCATTAAACTCCTGCTGGCTTTATCTGCCTTCCCATTTGCGTATGTAAAGTGAGTCACATGTCCTTTCTCTGGTCGCTAAGGAAGTATTTGTGTTATTTAATGGTTTAGTGAGTACGTGGTCAGAAGAGCGAGCTGTCTGGACAGGAAGCCTCAATGGTTTTCTTTCTGTTCTCCTAAGAATATATGATTATCGCTCCAAGTGGACGGGGGAGAGCACAGCTTAAGGAGAGATGACGGATTGTTTCCTGGAGGTGTCTTTTAGCAGGAAAGATTAGCTGGAACAAAACTACAATTTCTCTTATTGATGAAAATTTCCCTAGATACTGAAATGTAAAATTAATTCCTCTGGTCCTGTTCAGACAATGTAACCCTAGATGTGTGCAGCAAGTGTCTACACTAGGAATCCAGGTTTAATATACAGTTGAGACAGATTTTTCTAGCTTGAGCTAATTGCCCCTTGGAGGCACCAAGTTAGGAGCCACAGATTCTCAACCTGTGTTTCTACTGCATTGGATCACGTAAGTGTTTCTGACAGAAACTTTACAAAGCTATACATCATAAGTCTGAGGGTTTGGAAACCTTGCTGTCCTTCTCAGAAGCTGGTCAGTGATGGGAGTAGGACCCTAATAAATCTGTGTCTTCCCTCTGTTTCACAGCAAAGCTCTCCCGGGATGACAAGACACACATTCTCAAGCAGCACAGACGCAAAGAGCTCGAGAGCCGTCAAAAAATGTACCGGTGAGTTTCCCAAATGTCCCCCGAAGGCCCAGTGCCTATTCTCATCAGGTCAGAGTTTGGCAGAGTACATGTAGATTATCATCTTGCTCTTGTTACTGGACTGTTGCATAAGAGAAAGCAGAAGTTACCATGTTGGCCATATATGTTTTTTCACATAGATGAATCAGTGTAAGTGATGATCAGCCTGGTGCAAGTGGCATTAACAAGATACTTGGATCCCAGATAAGCCTACCTGGAAGGCTTCAGTAGGACTTCAGTGGTACAGTCTCTGTGTGGGTTCTCTGGCACACAGGTGTGCTTTCAAGGAAGATCTGAAGGCAGATTCCATTTGCCTTTTCCAAGCAGTACTCCAGTTTTGAAATATGATCGGAATATGTCAGCTCTTACTGGAGCTTTTTGGCTGCAGCACCAAGCTAGTTTTAGTTGTTTCCTGCTTTGTGGTGCAGTGGAAGATCTAGCCCTGTTTGAATTAACTGGAATGTGCTATCAGAACACAGCTGTGACACCCACCTTTGTAGTGTCATAGACATTTTTTCCTAATCAAGTTACCTATCTTTTATCGACAGGTAACTCCCAAAAGCATCAGACATTTCCTTTTCATAGAGACATATTCTCTGTTAAAATAATGACATTTTCTGGCACTTTCTTCTCCTTACTGTGAGAGTAAGGATCAGATGGACTGAGGGTTCATTCAGAATTGATGGATTGAGCCTTGGCATATGTGTGATAATAACATTTGACTAAGAAAGGATCTTGCTTACAAATTATGGGAAGTAGAGCAGAGAGAAATGCAGTCCAAAAAGAGGTGTGGCACAAAATTTTGTTTATGCATGCAAAAAGGAAGGCAAAACCATTTTTAATTCCAGGGAAATAGTTATTTACAATTCAGATGCATAAATGATAACACACAAAGCAATCTTTGTGCTGCAGACAATTTGGAAATACCATTGAAACTGTATTCTTTACAAGTCAGCTTCTTTTTTTTTTTTTTTCTAAGTAAAATGGGGTACTGTGCAAGAACATCCATGGCAGAGAATGTGTGCCATGACCATTGTGAGGTAGGGCTCTTCTGAGGAGCTGGATCTACACTATCAAGACCATCTGTGTCTCTCAGAGAGTTGCCTTTTGGAGAAACTTAAATATGTGCCTGAGTACTTTTAGCTGCTGTATCTCTAGTTTTGAAAAAATGTAGCTCCAAGAGTGAGTGTGCATTGGGCAGCTGTCTGTCTTTCTGTCCCCTCCCCTCCCAATACATTTGTACTTACCGGCAATTTTAACCAAGTGTGACAAGTGTTTGTAAATATGATAGGTATTAAATTACTTCAAGTTTTGGGAAGTTGTTGGCCAAGTGCATGCCTTCCATTGTACTTCAGGATTCTGTAGGGTACTGGTAGATATTCGTGTTGCCTAAGTCACTATTTTTGGTCCAAATGAGTTTGCCACAAATTTGTTTCATGGATTTGAGTCACAGAAGCGGTGGATGTGAATGAATGACACAGCACTCGTGCTGGTAAGGTTATGTGGTTGATCCAACTTCTCTTGTTTTCTTAGCTGGAAGGAGTGGCATCCAGGCTTTCCCCTGAGCATCGATGCCCTTTCACACAGGGATCTGCCTCGTGACATCCAGTTTGACAATGAGAAAGGAATTGACTTCATTCTCAACTACTCTAAAGCGTAAGTGTTTGTGAAACTTCAGGAATTTTGCAAAATCTTTTTTGGGGCACAGTAAGGATCTGATCACCTTTTACATTTTATTGAAATCTCAAAATTTGATTCTTTCCAGCTGGATCTGCAGTGAATCAAAATAGGAAATAAATTAATTAAATATTAAAAAACCAAGTTTTTCACACTGGGAACTGGCAGAGCCTCTGTGTTCTCATTAGACGCTGTTTTGGCTGTAGATATTATATATGGAGGGGACAATGGTGAAGAGCATAGGAAGAAGGACTACTGGCACCTAATATCTTAGGCTTAATTCTCAGAGTCCTCTAGAGGTACCACTCTCCCTCACTGTTGAATTAAAATGGATAATTAAGCCTTGCAGTCACATAACAGAATAAAATGGTATCAACACATACTTTAGACCTTGCTGAAGAAAAGCCGGTCTGAGCAGCTCATCAGTTAACCACGTCTGAGTGTAATCTTCTCGGGGCAGCAAAGTCACTGTCCACCTCCTTGCATGTGTCATATCATTAAGAAAAAACAGTCCTGGCCATTAGATTAGCTTGAATAATCAATCCTGCAGAGCTCTTTGAAATAGCACAGGGTTAATGAGGCAAATAGAACTTCTCTGGTGTCTGAGTCCCCTTCTGAGCTATTTTGTGTGCCTGGGTCAGACATCCCACCATACCATCAGATAGTGGAGTAGTCTTGAGACAAGACTGGTCCCAGGCTGTAGACTGCCAAGAACAACTGTAGAGTGGAGATCAATAATGCAGTAGCAAAGACTGGACTCTTGAGATGCCTTCCAGGCTCTTGTGTAAAGGTTCAGCCAGCAAATTTAATTCTGTATGGTGACCAATCTCACATTGCACCACTGAAAAATACACTGTGTGTGGAAAATAATTGGGGAGTATTGAGGAAGCTGGATGTGATTTTTTTCAGAGATGTTTTGTTTCATTTTGGTTTTAGGATGGAGAATCTTTATATCAACCGTTTCATGCACATGTTCCAGTCCTCCTGGAGTGATTTTGCAGATTTTGAGAGGATCTTTGTCAGAATCAGCAACACAATCTCTGGTGGGTTTATCAGCATTTGCTTATGTTTGCATTGTAGAATGGCTAATTATTTGTCTTGAACATATTTGATTAGGATGAAAGTGGCTGACCCTCACTTCTGCACTCCCACAGCTTTTCATAAATAAACTGTAATCTCAGACTGCTGATCACACCAGCAGCCCAAAAGACCAAAAAGCAAAGCTATGGTTTCACACAAACTAAAATTACTGTGAACTGCTCAGTAACCTCTGTCCTGAGCTGTACTGGAGGTTAGGCCAGTTAGGCATCTCAGTCCCCTATTAAGATGTCAAAGGCAAAATACTTCTTTGCTTTAACTCTTTACAGTATGGAAATATAAACAGTTACATAAAAGAATTGCAGACAGACACAGGGTTTTGAAGTTCATGGTGTTCTTTCTGTAAAGCAGGGCTGGGAAGCCTTTGTTTTGTGAGCCAGACCCAACCTTCTACTATTTGCCATGGTTACGTTATTTGTCTTTATTTTACTGTATTAGTGCATATAACAGATAAACAAATACTATAAGTTGATTGGGGTGTGGTTCCTGCAATGTGTGTGCATGGCTTGTTCAGATTCTGCAAAGGAAAATATTTTTCCTTCCTGCTCTGAAGCTTTGCCCCTCTTCAGTCTGCCTAAGGACCAGTTAAGAGAAATAAAAGTAATTTCTGCAGTCCCAGGTATAAAATAAAACACGCAGGCTGGTCAGAGCTATTAAAACTAATTACAGCAATTTGCTCCATTTAATAAAATCACTTCCTAAAGTACTTTTAACATGGGAATTACAAATAATCTGCAATTAATTTCGTTCGTAGTATTTCCATACTCATGAGAAAAACTCCAGTTCTGTGAGTTTTAAATGTTAATCATTGGTCACAGCTACATTAATGCAACTCTGAATCTGCATACTTGTGAGGCTTGGCAGAAACAGAGCTAATGAAGAGGGTGATTCAAGGCATTTTTCAGTCATGTATTTTCTGTCCAAGTAATTTTTGGATGGTATAGACTTCAGATACAGCTCCAGACTCATTATGCAAGTGACAGAGCTGATGTAAACGCCAACTTCAAGTAAACTACATTTTTTTCATCTCTGTTAGAATGCAGAGTGAGTTTTGATACTTTTTTTTTTTTAAATTATTTATAATTATCGCCGCATTGTATTCCCTGAGAATTTAAAACATGAGATTTAAAAATTTCATGGAAGAATGTTTTACACAGGAGTGGATTATTTTAGTCTTCATTGTTTTTGTACATAGAGAAACAAATTATTCTCAAAGTGAAAAACAAAGATTACATTGTCCATTTAACTTAAGTAATTTTTAATTCTGTGGTAACTTCTGAATCCTTTTCTTGCTGCTTTCTTTAGTCAAAGTTACAGGGCATTATAACAAAGTGTGGGGAGGAAGGGAGGAATCCTGCATGCAGTAAGGTATTGATGCAGTGCAGATATTGATGCTGAAAGCTTGTTTTCCCTTTAGAATATGTGATGCAGCACTGGAAGGAAGATTTTATGTTTGGCTACCAGTTCCTGAATGGATGCAATCCTGTGCTGATCCGGAGATGCACTGAGATACCCAAGAAGTTGCCTGTGACTACAGATATGGTAGAATGCAGTCTGGAGAGGAACCTGACCCTGGAGGAAGAAGTGAAGGTATGGCTTTCCGTCAGGTTGGACTTCATCTGCTCCTTCTCATGTCCTCTAACCTCCAAACCCTGTTCTAAGTGCCTTGAGCCACACCTCCTCTTCAGCCTGTGTGGTTGGTCATGGCAAAGCTAGGTGTCTCTGCAGACTGACAGCACCTCTGTTTCCTCCTGTTGTCCTACATGCCGTGCCTTTCTCCACATCCAGTTAAAGAGATGTCACCAGTAGATGAAGGGTCCTTTTTCAGTGTTTTCCTCTGAAAGGTTGGGGGTTGACTAACTATTGACTGAAGAAAGAAACATACTGAAGAAAGGTTGGCAAGGGTTGTGCTTTGCTTTGTATGGCAAGCTTAGGGGTCTCTTCAGCTGGCAGTGTGAAACTTGTTTGCATCCTTCTTAGTGTCACTTTGTGAATGCATAGGCATGAAAGGCTCACCATCAGACTCAGCTGGTACAGGTCAGGTAGTTTGTGTAAAGGTGCTTGCTGTCTCAGTGGCATCATCCCTGAGCCACCATGAGCAAGGACAGGCCAGTGGCCACTTGTAAACACAGGGCACAAGCCAGCCTCTGGCCAAGACTTCCTGATCTTTGTTCCAAACCTTGCTACTTACAGTCTGTTAAAACACAACAGGCTTTTCTTTTTTTCTTTCTTTCTTTTTATTTCTCCAGCAAGGAAACATTTTCATTGTGGACTACGAGCTGCTGGATGGTGTGGATGCCAATAAAACAGACCCATGCACAATACAGTACTTGACTGCACCCATCTGCCTGCTGTATAAGAACCTGGAGAATAAAATTGTACCCATTGCAATCCAGGTGGGTTTACTGTCAGGGTCTTTAAAGGGACACTTTGCTTTCTGTCTCATCTTCAACATGAATGTCTCGTGGTTTTGTGTTGTTTTTATATCTTCCAGCTTGGCCAAAAGCCTGGGCCAGACAATCCCATATTCCTTCCTTCAGATGCCACATATGATTGGCTGCTCGCTAAAATTTGGGTTCGCTCAGCTGATTTCCACATCCATCAGACTGTGACCCATCTCTTACGGACACACTTAGTGTCAGAGGTGTTCAGCATAGCCATGTTCCGGCAGCTGCCTGCGGTACATCCCCTCTTCAAGGTTGGTTCTTGCATGAAGGGATGTAGGTGGGTGAGGGAGGTTATCGCATTAGTTTGACAAACCAAAAGGAAGTCCTGGTGATAGCTCAGCTGAGATAGTTTGGCTGGCTGCCCTGCAAGGCAACGTACAGCTAAACCACCAGGGCTTCCAGAGCTTCAGACTTTACACTGTATTGCTGTTGAATTCAGTCAGAGAATTTGCCATCTGTCATTGCTTGTCGTGTTTCACAGCTCTTGGTGCCACACATGCGATTCACGATAGCCATCAATACCAAAGCCCGAGAACAGCTTATCTGTGAATGTGGTCTTTTTGACAAGGTAAGTAATCCCCTTTGCAAATCTTCATGATTCTGTATATGTTTTTATCCTTTAACCATCTTGTACTGTCTTGTTTTTTTGACCTTTCTACTGAAGGGCAAACATAACTAATACCACCTGAGAAAGTGGTGCACAGAGCTGATGCTTTGTTGTGCTGAAGATGTTGCCTTTTGCCTCTAAGTAGCCAGTTTAGAACTAGCAATGTCAGTAGTGAGTCAGTATCTTGCTTACTTATAGCTGATGTGACTTTTGGGTATGAGTATAGGAGTGCAAAGGAACATGATTTGCACATACATCCCTGCACTTGCATGCACACTACTAAGTCCTCAGTTTTTTTAAGTACTCAGTTACTCATATTGGGGCAGGGTGGAGACCAAAAGAATTTGTGATTGTAAAAGGAAATTTCCATCAGAGAAAGACGTGTAGTTAAGACAGATTTCTAAGCTCACAAATAGTGCCTGTAAATTCCAGCCTGTTTTCTTGAATTGCCATAAACAGCAGATCTGCTAGGATCAAAACTCAGCTTCATCTGAGTCAGAGAAACGTAACCATATATCATGAACTGTGGTGCAGCTCTTACGTCAAATCTGAACATCTAATTCTGACTGCACTGGTACTTAACTTGTACCCAGCTCTTCCTCCCTGGCTTTCCCAGAAATGGCATGCTGCATCTCGGAATCAAGCAGGTTGGCATGCAGCAGTCTATGTGACAACATGGTAGCAGCAATTTTTGGGGAGGTTTCAGAAGTCCTTCCAAAGAGGGAGCCTGCGTTTCAGGACAACTGTACCACTTACAACTCTGGCACTAGACCAAAAATAAGCTCCATCCTTCAAGGAAAGAAGAGAGGTTAAATCTGGGCATCTTCCTTGTCTTCCGGACTCCACTGCTGACTGTGGAGACCTAGCAGGCTTTCCCATCCCTTTGAACAAAAGCATAATGTCTGTACCCCTTGCATGTGGGATGAGTGTGTGGTTAAGACCTACCAGCAGGGATCCTGGAGTTCCAGAATTTGTTGGGTCCAGTGTGGATGATGAGCCGGCTGGAGGACAGTAAATGTGAGCTGACTCCTCCTACAACATTAGCATCATATGCTAGAAAAGCAACATTTGGGAGCTTTTGTGCAGTGATTACCTAAATACTTTTGCAGTGCTGTTTGTTATGGTTTTTCCACAGTGCTATGTTTTCCAAATGTAGCATATACGGAAACCCTGGCTAATCCTCATCAATAATCACCTGGTAGGATTGATATATTCTGGGTTAAATTCCAGGGTGGCTCACAGTAGCCTGCATCCATAGACACTTTCTACTAAAACACACTGTAGCAGCAATGGGTAGTTTAGCAAAAGCCCTGTTCTATCACGCTCCTGCCTGCCTTCCTCCATGCTGGTTTTGGAGGATAGGGCTGGCAGAAAGTGCTTTAGGTTTGATAATTCAATGTTGCTGTACTTTATTACTGTATTCCACCATCAGCAGGTGCTGTACCTATGGAGAAAATGGGTTAGGAAATAAACAGTGACTTATGGGAGAGCTGTGAAATCTCTGAAGTCAAAATGTACAGTAGCAGTTTGGTACTTGTTTGTTTGGAGAAGTGGTTCTCTCCTTGAAAAAAAGATTCACTAGCATTTTTAATACCAAGTCCTGTGCTTTTGGAAAGCCAGTCTCAGCAGAAAGTCAATATAATATTCTGCTGTTCCTGTCTTGCCATTCCTCCTGCAGGCAAATGCTACAGGTGGAGGAGGACATGTACAAATGGTGCAGAAAGCAATGAAGGATCTGACTTACAGCTCTCTCTGCTTCCCTGAGGAGATGAAAGCTAAAGGGATGGACAGCAAAGAGGATATCCCCTACTACTATTACCGGGATGATGGCATTAAAGTCTGGGAGGCTATCAGGAGGTAAGAGCTTGTAGTTCTAGAAATGGCTAATAAAGTCACTGTCATGGAGACATTACTTCATTTTCTCTCTGCTCACTTTGATCTCCATCACAGCCATGTGAACAGCACCTGAGCTGTTTAGTTACCTGGTGCCTTTTGCATCCAATGTATTTCATCTGAGGAAAAATACATAGTCAAGCACAAACCCTTGAAGGACTGTTAATGCTTTTTTTCAGTCCTGTTTTCTTGCATTCTGATTTTCAGAGGCCCTTTTATAAATGTGTACTCCTCTATAGGATTTCACAGGGTTTAGTGAGTTGAAATGTAGCCCTGCAAAGGAAGTTTAATTAGCTTTTTCATTTTAGCTGTGCACAAACCAAGAGGGAACCCAGCTCTCTGAGCCAGCCACATGAGCTCATCAAGGTTCTTGTGGAGTGGAAATGCAAGCTTGGCTTGCATGGGAGTTGTGTTTTGATACTCAATGAATCAGGCGTTAACTAATTTGAATAGAAACTTTCTTAAAATGCCTTAAAATTGCGAAGCCCAGGTTTTGTCAGGAAGGGCAGCAATTCTGAGACAGGAGAGACACTGCAAGGCTGCTCAACCACAGGAATGTGGTCCTTTTCAGATATGAAACTGCCTCAGAATGCAATGATTAATGTTTCTTATTGTACAATGGCATTTCATTTAACAAATAATGTGTTTTTGCAAGGCATAAGTTGCTTGCTAAATATACAGCTGTTTCTGGCCACGTGGCTTTTGAAAAGCATGTTCATTAAAAATCACATCTTCTGTGCACACAGAGTTGGGAGTTTATAGTGAACACATAATGTTTAAAATGTTGGGTAGATCTTTATCTCCTGTGTTTTCTCTTTTGTTTTGGTGAGAGGTTATCTTGCAATATTTGCTGCAATTCTTGGTGCCCATTTGAGAGAAAAGGAGGTCATAACTTTTCTGTGGTAATTCTCTTGAAGTGGTCCATTTTTTGTCCCTCTTCTCTTTCCTGTATTTTCTTTGCTGATTGAGAAATGCCTTTTCAAATACCAGACAGTACTTAGTCAACTCAATTTAGTATGACTGTTTGTGGGTGTTAACCTAGCTGGAGGAAGATGTTACAGTGCCTCAGTTCATAAGTGAATAATTTGGTTTATAAATGGTGTGGGCCTCCTTTTTGAGTGTGTGATATCCTGACTCATGAAACAAGGCACATGCACATGACTATCATCATGAATTGCCTACACACTGAAGGGATGTCAGTCTTCACCCTTCTAATTAAATAATTTCTGTCCCCAGCATTTCTCCCATATGGTAGATGGCCTAGACTTAAGAAAGCTGATAAGGTTGTTCCTATAGAAGCTATGAGGCTCACACAGCAAATTTTTAAACCCCTTCTCTAATACTCAGCTTCTTATTTCTGATTTAACTGCAGAAAGACATTCCAACCAAGAAGGTCTTATACACACTTCATATACTAATTTACATTTGCATGGAAGAGGGTCTAAAATACTGTCATTGGGAGAGAAGGATTATCTTCTGTAGGCACTTGGCACAGGTTCCAGGTGGTGGAGGCTGAGCTCATGCAGGGAGGCTTAATCTTTGCGTGTTACAGGATTTTTAATTTCCTTTGGCTTCCTCTAGAAGCCCAAATTACTTAAACTCTTGGTGTTAATGCAGTTGTTTGTCTGCCTCAATAACAACTCTTGACTTGGTTGGCTAGTAAAAACCACAGTGACAGATTTGTAAAGGTCTCCAAATTGCAATAAATTTATAGCTTAGTAGGGGAGAAATCTCTATTGGATAACAATTCTTAATCCCATCAGTCAGCTTCTGCAGTCAAATGTTTCACTCTGTGGGTTGTCAAAATATTTAGCAAGGATTACAGGTACCTGCAGAGCTAATAGTGTATCTTGGTGTAGATCAGTTAACCAGTCATTCAGTCATGAAATGCGAATCTTCAGGAAGTCAGGCTTGCCTATTTTTACTGCTTTCAGAACAATTTCTATTATCTTAGGTTTTTAAAAGCCTTTCTTGCTGAGATGAGTTTGCCTGGGAAGCTTTTATAGAAAGAGGGATTTTGAGAAGAGGAACTGAACAGGCAGAAGACATCTGCTGTATGCAGTGGGTGTAGGAAAAAATCCCTAGATCTCTTCTACCCAATAAAAGCTTCCTGGGTCACCCTGACTTTGGAATGTGATGCTTGGGTTTTGTGAAAAAGATGTGTGGTAGGAACGGATCAACTATTTTAGTGGCACCCAGGAGCAGCTTTGGAGTATCCTACATACAGGGGATGGTGCCAGTATCACAGTTTGGGAGCCCCTGTTCTTGGTGTGAGAGCCATGTGCATATGCCAGAGGGACTCTGTGTTAAGTGAAGAAAAGATGTAGATGTGAAGACGGAAGTCTGGGCAGCAGCAAAGCCTCAAATAAGAGAGTAAAATGCACAGGACTGTTCAGAGGATACGGTGTGGTCTAGCATCATTTTGTTGGGGGAGGAAGTGATGCTGTAGTCAGAAATTAATCAAAGTTGCCTCTGTGCATTCCCACTGCCTTTGGGAGGAAGGAGGAGGGTGTTGAGACCTGCTCTTCCCTTCTCTCTTGCCCCGTACAGCATCTGCCTCCTCTGCAAGGTCAGTAGAAGGTCTTCAGGGAACAGCAGGCTTGCTTTCTCCTCTCTGTTTTGTCTTGTTCATTTGTTCCTGTGTCTGCAGTTTTGCAGAGGATGTTATTCACATCTACTATGAGAGCGATGAGATTGTATCTGAGGATGTGGAGCTCCAGGCTTTTGTCAAAGACATTTACGTCTATGGAATGAGGGGTGTAAAGGCCTCAGGTAAGGTATGAGGGCCCAGCCAGGTTCACAACTGGTCAAGGCCCTGCTGACAGCCACACTGCAAGCACAGCCTGCCTTGAGCTGCTGGAGACCCTCTCCACTCCTGGCCCAGAGATGCTTGGTTTATGGGGGAGACCTTGAATCAGGCCAACCCCCCTCAGGTGACAGCTCCTTCCATTGCCACAGATTCTCACCATGAGCTTGGGCAACTTGGGAGAGCTCTCTGTAAGCTAGGGATCTTGTCTACTAATGCTTTAAGCATTAGTGGGTGGGCTGTCTGTATGTGCTGTTGGAACCATCAGACAGATAGAAATCACAAGGAGCAGTGAGAACCCCTTGAATCCTGTCCTCCAAATCTTGCACTGAATAAGAAAAAATAAGAACCTCCCCAGGAGTTTCTTGCTGCACTTTGCATTTGTTCAGCATCTGTGACATTGCTGAGCTGTTCTGCTTCCTCAAAAGAAGATACTCATGATTCTTTCCAAGAAATACTTTCCTTTGCTCTGTCTCCATCCACTGCCTCTCCTTTCTTGCAAGCCATTACTTGGCTGTGGGACCTCTCACCCATAACACACCTCCATTCTCCCACCTGAGTTAATACTCTCCTGCCTTTGCCTAAATATGCTGGTTTGTTTTTTTCTTCTACTCACATTTTTTCCAAGCAGGTTTTCAGGAATTTATACAGATGGGTAGGGATTCTTCGTACTGTCCTGACTGATTTACATCTGGAAACACCCACTGATCAGTGGTCTGAGGCAGATGGCTTTGGCATTGCCTGCACACGTTTGTGAACTGTGATGTTTCCACTCATTACCAGTATGCACTGGTGTACAGCAGCCTCTTGGGCTCTACCTGCCTGGACGAGCAAAGGACTTGGGGCACAGAGTTGCTATAATTTTCCTTTGTGTAGCTGTCTCTTAGGAAAAGCTTAGTAATGGCCTGCCAGAAGAAGCTTTATGTGTGACCTAAAAAATTTTTGTATGTGACAAGTACTGAGCCTTTCCAGGGCTACAGCTGGGGTGGGATGCAACAAGCACCACTGGTGACAGGACTGCCACTACAGGTGGGAAACCTGCCAGACCTGCAGTATCTCTCTCTGCACTGCTGCCACTTCAAGTGCTCAGGCAGAGAGCAGGGGGACCTGCCTGTCTGTGTAAAGAATGGAAGGAGGATAAATGGGAAAGGCTGTTGCACCCAGGGTCCCTCCTCCAGTCTCCATTCCTGCCCTGGAAGGGCTGCTCTCACTGGGAGTGTGCTAAGCCCCTTAAAAGATGAGCACAGTGTGCTTACGATAGCAGGACTCAGGAGGGGATGGTGCATCCTTTCCTCTTCAGGCGTGGTGTCTGGCCAGAGCTACCATGTACCTGTTCCCCATCTCAGGTTGAGTTCACATCTGCACCAGGTTGGTGGTGGAGATGTGGAAGCAGCTGGCAGAGACAGCCTTAGCAGGAGCACTTTTCCCCAGGGTGCTGACAGGTCTCTAGGTATCCTGGGACCTGTGGTCACATTGGGCTGGGACAGTGAGTACAGCACAGGACTGCAGTGTGGTGAGGATAGGAGAGATACAGATTTGGGGGAGCTTTGGTAGCAAAATATTTCCCTAGTTCCTTACTCTCCCCTGGTGGAATGGGGAAGAGAATTGGAAGGGTAAAAGTAAGAAAGCACATGGGTTGAAATGAAGACAATTTAATAGGAAAAGCAAAAGCCACACACGCACAAGCAAAGCAAAACAAAGAACTCATTCACTACTTCTCAAAGACAGCTTGGTGCCACTATTTCTGTTCCTTATTCTGTTTTCTCTTTCAGAAGTTCTCATTTCCTCACTTTCCATTTCAGCAAATAAGCTCTCCCTGTGCTCTTCCTTGCAGTGCACTCGACCTCTGGGCCTGGGACCTTTGTAAGTACAAACAAATGGCCATTTGCTGCTTTCCTGCTTGCACTGCAGCCTGGAGAAAAAGGGAGCATCTGAGACCCCTGCTCTGTGAACTCTCTAGGTTCCTTGCTGCAGGGTAGGTAGGGTGAGAGGACAAGGATACAGTATTTTTTAAAGGTGTAATTATACTTTGCCTTCCCCTTAAGTAGTGCCACACACTTTGCAGACACTGGGGATGTCTCACAAACCTGTGTGCAGTAAAACAAGATTACTCAATGTTGATGGCTGGATAGCCAAGACACGGAGAGGTGGAGTAGCTCCTGTTAGACCACACATCACCATTCAGAAAGGGAATGCCCTGCTCTTTGGTGACTGCTGCATGGCCCTCTCACTCATGCCTTCTCAGTAGCTGATTACTACTGTGTAACTGGGTTACTTCATAGTTCTGTTACTTAAGCTTTTCTTCTCCTTCATTTAGGGTTTCCTAAGATGATCAGAACACGAGAGAAGCTATCAGAATATCTCACAGTGATAATATTCACCACATCAGCCCAGCATGCAGCTGTGAATTTTGGTCAGGTAAGAATTTCTGGGAAGACTGTTCTTTTAGGGCTGGGAGGTACATCTAACAGAGCAAGGTCTGATAAATGTTTTTTAGTAAATATGCATGTACAGACATTACTTTCTTGTCAAGATAACTGCAGGGCCATCTGCAAATACACATGAAGCCTGTGCAAGCTTTTTGGTAAGGCTGAAAAAAACATTTTGAGTCCTAAATTATGTACAAAGTTCAAATTTAGAGGCTCCAACTTGTATATTTTAGTTGTAATGACTTCATTATAGTGAACAATTTTTTTTAGCATTTAAATGCTGAAGGGTTCAGGTGCAGAGTCAAGCTACCATGCTTTCCAGACATCACCTGAACTACCTGAGTACTGTATGTGCTGGTAGTCTGTGGCACTTTGTGCAGTGAAATGCATTAAGAGGCTTTACTTTGCATTTGCTGTGAGTGCATGCACAGGTGGCTACTGTGGGTTGCTGTTGTAAGCTGTGCTAATGTGGCAGTGTGTCTGGGCCGAAGCTGCATGTGGCATCTCTCTTTGAGTTGGTGGAGCTGGCTGTTTTCCAACAGCTCAGTCCCAGCACTACAGCAATCTAACTGGCCTAATGGAACACTTACCATGGGTTTTGAGTTATGTAGTTGAAAACTGCCTTGCACATCTGCAGGGCCTCCAAGTCTACTTTCTGCAGCAGCACAGACAAGCCTCCTCAAGGTACAGTCTCATTGATGTCACTGGGACAGAAGTCCAGATCTTCAATGATATGTAGATACTTAACTCCCAGTGACATACACAGAAATCTGAAGCATCACATCTGTGAAGTTTGAGGCTTTGATCATGGTCACATTTTCAAAAGAACCAATGTGCTTTGAGTTTGCAAGCCAACTGGCATCTTTGAACTTCCTCTGTGATGTTTAATGTATCACATACTGATAGTCTGTGTTACCCCTGCCTTCTTGAATCTACCCTGCGACTGTGGTATCAGCTTGCCTTTCAAATGCTGTTTCTTCCAACATCAAAGCAAACTCCACAGCCAGAAGCAAATCTCTTTGTCATTCTGTATTGCACAGAGCTTCTTCAATGAGTGAGTGATTGGTCACTGGAACAAATGCCCTGGGGAGCTGGTCATGGTGCCAAGCCTGTCAGAGTTCAAGGAGCATCTGAACAACAATCTTAGTTACATGATTTAGTTTTAGGTAGTCTTGCAAGAAGCAGAAAGTAGAACTTGATTCTTATGGGTCCCTTACAGCTTGAGATTTTCTGTGAGCTTTTTTGTTGGCACATATTCTGTCTTTAGGCATGGATGATCTCACAGCTAAGCAGGGAGACCATCTTTTCCTACAGTGATTACTCCCAAGCACATCCCACATCACTCTACACATTGACCCTCCCTGTCCACCCGACATTATCAGAAGAGCTATTTGTTAAAAAAATAGCCAAGTCCTTAGCCTGGCTGATGAATTTGGGCTGTGTGGCACATGCCTGTGGTTAGCAGAATAACTACTCCCATTTAGAGAAACCAGCTCTCTCCCTTTTGAGATCCTGAGAAAGACAGTAGGGTCTTCCTTCTGTTTCAGTCCTTCTCTAGAGCATCTTCCTGGTATCAAGAGTCCTGATTTTCTTTGCAGTGTTCCTAAATACCAGTCACTGTAGCTTTTCACTGTGTTATCTTGCTTTGTTGTGCAGTATGACTGGTGTTCCTGGATTCCCAATGCCCCACCGACAATGCGCTGCCCCCCTCCGACAGAAAAGGGGACAGTCACCATCGAGCAAATTGTGGAGAGTCTGCCAGATAGGGGACGTTCATGTTGGCATCTTGGAGCTGTCTGGGCCTTGAGCCAGTTCCAGGAAAATGAAGTAAGTTGATCTCCCTTCTCTAGATGGTGAAGATGTAGGTGAGACCATGAGGGTCGTGTGGCAAAACCACACAGATTCACAAAACTGTAGTGTTGCTCTTTGGTTGACTCGACCATGTTTACCTTTCTATGGAGATGTATCAGTGATGTGGTTTTACCCTTGGGCTGTCAGATGCAAACCAGCTGCAGAAAGATGCAGGGATGGAAAGAAGCAGTCAGCAGTGAGGGAGGATGAGACAGCATGATTCATTAGCAGTGCCAGCACAGGCTAACTTAAATGTTGATGGTACTATTTTAAAAGCTCTGGACGTTATTCTGCTGGATGACATAATGTTGAGGCAGAGGAGCCTTTGCTTTCTCAAAGTATGATTTCTTGGTGTTTTTCAATTAGCTGTTTCTGGGCATGTACCCAGATGAACACTTCGTGGAGAAGCCAGTGAAAGAGGCTATGGCAAAATTCCGCAAGAATCTGGATGAGATCGTCAGCGCCATCTCCGAGCGCAACAAGAACAAAAAGCTGCCTTACTACTACCTGTCCCCAGATCGCATTCCCAACAGCGTTGCTGTTTGAGCAGATACCCAGGAGAAGCTGGAGATGTGTAAAGCGAGTGATGCTTTCCTGTTACATATGCTTCTTTTCAATGAACTTTCAGAAGAGGATAAAATAGGAAAACCCCTCTCTTGTCAGAGCTGACCCATAGTCGATTTGGACTGTCAAAACAAGTTTATGACTGACCTTGCAGAGTCTAGCTGGAAACCCTCTAGGTCAAATTTGTTACAAGTTTATTTTTCCAAGACTTTTTAAAGAATCTTAGAATCAGTAGCCATGTTTCTGTTAGCTTTCCCTCTCCTGGTCAAAATAATGCAATCACAGACTCACCCATTTTATTCACTGAAAAGAGTACCAGGAGCAATAGGCAAGTTACATTTGAAAAATCCTTCCTGTTTTTATTAGGTGACATGATTGACATACAAAAATATAGTTGTTAAAGTTTATAAATGGTTTTAAATCTGATAAAACAAATGTTAAATATTTTCACTACGACTGTGAATGTCCTAATCAGGATGAAAGGAGAAGCAGAACTTTTTCTTAACATAGTTGAGGGGGTTTTGTCACTTTCTTATTGAGTTCATGAGAAATTCATAGAAGGTGAAAGTTTTGTATCTACATAAACCTAGATGTTAGCTACATAAAACTAGCAAGGTTTGTTTTAGCCTCTACCAGCAGAACTTGATGTCATTCATACACATAGACAAACATTTTGCTTAACACAATGGCAACAAGTACAGACCTAGCAGCGCCTATGTTCAATCTGTTTCCTTGCTTGAGCTGCTTGATTTTGTCAATAGTTTCTTCTGATGGAGATGAAGGGGCTACTTTGTATAAAGATAAAAATTGTGGAGAAAGGTTATTTGTCAGCTTTTAAGGGGAATAATTAGATTTGGCCAATTAAGCATAATTGACATATTCCACCTTAGAAATAATTGAGTTTTGTCTGTTTTGCTCAGAAGTGGTTAGGTTCAAGTCCTTGGGCTTTGGTTAAGGTTGAGAAAGTCACTGAGATGATGGAAGCAAAAATGAGGTTTGGTAAACTTAAGAATCATAGTTTTGTTGATAACAATTTTGATTTATTTTTCCCATAATTTTTTCCTTGTACTAGCTTCATCAGCCTGCAGTGTGCTTTCTCAATAGATAAGAAAGCTTCTTGTGCTAATAAAAGAAAACTGAACAAGAACATCTAGCTTTTATTTCTTAACTCAATATCCAATGCTGTATGTCTTGAAAACCTTGAAAGAACAAGCCCAGTGTGCTGTGTAGAGAACCAAAGCACTTGAAATTTAAGAAATATAGTTCTTTCTGTCATTCATGTGTGCTACTTAAATATACATCCTTCCTATTTCATATAAAACACAGGCTTGGAAACACAACTTATTTTAGATCCTTTACAGTAGACTAATTCCCTTTTTCTCCCCCCAGCTAAAGAGTTTCAGCAAAAATGTGGCAGGCAAGACCACTTCCTGTTACTGAGGAAGTAGATCTAAGACTTGTGCATCTTCCTTTTACTGCAGCCCATGAGAAGGGATGACTGTAGGAGCTGAGGCATGCAGCTGTGTAGCAACAGTGGAATAGGACCAGGGGATCAGAGACCATAACGTGTAAGCCACCAAAAAAAAATAAATAATTAAAATGTAAAAGGCAAAATGTGCAGCAAACTCCAACTGTAAAACATCCTAAGTACTATGAGAAAGGAGCTGGGAAGTGTTATCCTAAAGGACTGTCACAAAGAGAGGAGACACCCCAGTGTTTTCTCCTCAAGCAGATTCGGGAAACTCTCTCCCTAAGGAGAGAAGGAGTCATTGAGATGGTGAGAGATTATCGGTGAGGGCACAGGGGAGGCATTCCCTTGATGAAGTCTCTGACTCTTTGGTTTCATTTGACAAAGTGAGGATTTAGCTCTGTAACCAGCCCAGCTGTCATCGCAGACCTCCCATGCTTTCCTCTTCTTGCAGAGTGAGTTTACCACTGTAAACTCCTTTTTGGGACATTCCCTTCCCCAAACACCAAACATGCTTTGCAAACAAAGTGTCATCCCACAAGAAGTAAACTACTCTTTTTTTTTTCTTCTTTTTCTTTTTCTTTTTTTTTTCCCAGTCAATCCTCATTTTACAGGTGAGGAAATTGAATAAGAGCAATGAAATTCAGCAGGTCAACTCTGATTTCAGGTGCCTTCTTTGTAGAATTATTATGAGAAAGTTGTTTACCTGCAGCCAACATGTTCAGGTTTGGCCACTCTAATTAGAATTATTTCTTCTGTTGCATGGAAAGGCAGGACATGGAATGGACTCCAGAAGACCTGTTTCTCTAAGTAGCAAGTTTTAATCAGCAAATTACCTTTTCCTGCCACAGTAGTAGCTACATGGCATCTAGGAAGTAATTGCATACACTGAGGTAATAGCACAAAGTGCTTAGTTTGCTTTATTTGCATTATAAACAGGAATAAATATTGCACAATTGGAAATGGCTGGTATGTTTAGAGGTTAACTGAGTCAAGGGATTTTAAAGCCAGAAGATGTGGGTATGATTGCTTAGACTGATCTCAGCATACCACAAGTCTGGGTTTCCATGAAATGTTTCCCCGTTCAATAGAGGGGGTGCTTGATCTGGGGAACTATCTTCTGTGCAAACATCCACTCGTGATTTGCTGAAACACACAGTTCACCCTGATGCTTGAGTCACTTGTCTCACTGATTAAATCCTCTTGCTGTTACAGGTACATTCTATGTTTTCTAGTTCTGCATGCATTCTGTTTTTACTTATTTCAACAGACACCTTCTTGTGGTAACTTTGTGTGACAGAAGATCCTCTTCTGACCAGTTCCCTACTACATCCTTCTCTTTCTTTCAGTAATCTGAATTAGTTTCCTGGAATCTTTTGCTGCAAGCCTTTCTTTAAACCTCTTCTCCATTGCCACAGCATCTTTATTAACTGTGTGTGGGCAGCATGAGGGAAATTGACAACCACCATGATTTGATGGCTGTTTCAGTAATTTCATAGGCTGCATTTTCTGCTGCCTGCAACTACACGTCTGCAATTTGCCCCTAGATTTAGGTGTCCAACATGTAAAATCCAAACAATAGATTTTTTGCTTGCAACCGGCAGCTCAAGAGATCCAGATTGGATCCAGATGTCGGTGGCCCAGCCTCACTATTTCCAGTTACTGGGGGACACTGCTGTGTATCTGTGGTTTATCAGCAAGCTCTTCATTGCACCCGCTTTGGCATTCAAATTCAGCTGCTGTTGCTCCCCAGGTCTATGACCTCAGCCAGATGGATAGGTGGTAGCAAGTTGGAACATTGCAGCTGACACAAGCAGTGGTCTCTGCAGAGGGCAACACGGAAGCAGAATGGCTGCATCAACAAAGGATCCTGCTGACAGACTATATGTCAACTATACAGAAAAACAGAAAAACAGGAAAATATTATGTATAGAGATTTGACTATAACCACTGAGAAAATTAGAGGCAAAACTCAGAAGAACAAGATGTCACGTCTGTGATCTGGCCACAAGACCTGAATTTCTTTCCCTTGCTGCTAGAGTTCCCTTCAAAGCAAAAGCTGGTGTTGTAGTTGTCCAGATAAATGGACAAAATAATGGATAAGATGCTGATTGTCTTGTAGCAGGAGAGCAGTGGCAAGACACAAGAGCTTTATTAGTTGAAGAATTAAATCCCAGCCTGAATATGGCTTTCTCTGGCAAACACTGGGTAGGTGAACTTCCCTAGGCAGTGAGATGGGGGTGCTGACAAAGGTGTTGCTGCTTCTGACAGATCTCTCCAGAGACTGAAGATGCCCAGTTTTCATCTTTGTGAGGTGAGTTCAAATACCATTTTTTGTAGTTGAAAGTATATGCAATAAATTGCCTTGGAAGGGCAGGGGGAAAGGTGGCTGGAGCAGTAATTTTGAGCTGCTTCTCACAGGCCTGTGCTATTGCTTGTAAAATCAGAAGCAACAGTGGTTTGAGTGTTTGTTCATTTGGTACATTAAAAATAAATAAATTTGTTTGGGGTTTTTTTTGTTTGTTTGCTGGGGGTTTTTGTTGTTTTGTTTACTTTGTTTTTCTGTGTTTGATTTTTTTAAGCAGATGTGAGCAGAGATTATTTGACACAAAAATTATTTTAATGAATTTTCTTTAGCCACAGAACAGGCTCAGCAAAGGCAGAGGTAAATGGAGCATATTTTGAAGCTCATGAAGGATATTCTGATGCTGACCAAAAGTTATCACTGAGGTACAGTGTCCCTGTATAATCTGACCCATTTTAGTGTCAATAGCAGGTTTAGGTGTTGTGGATTCCTGGACAGTGCCACTTTAGCAACTACCTGTCTCATGGTGAAAGCCTTTGCCTCAAGATACAGTAAAGAGAAGGTGGAAGATCTTGTTGTTGATTGTCTGTTGATACTGGAAACAGAAATGGGCAAGATTTCTGGGGATGTCCTAAACTGACATAGCTAATTTGAAATAATCGGTGGCTATATGGATTCATACCCACTCAGAGATGTCTTTAATTTTTGCCTTTACAGATATTGCTGACTATTTTGAGCCTTCCCTGTTCATTCCTGGGAATGGTGTGCTTCCCTCACCTGATTTCTGTTTATGGCTATTAATTGTGGGCAGATTGTTTACCAAAGCACTAGAGGGCAGCAATATTATATTTAAATAATTATTTCTACGGCCTTGGACAATACTGGTACCAGAAAGATGAGTTCTGGTTTCTTCTACTAGTCTTCTTTTTCAACAGAGCACTTGAACTGAACAAAGTTCAACCCCAATTCTGATTGCTGTGGAACGATCATAAATGAGCATCTAAAGGGTGTAGTTAATCTCACCTGTGATCCAACCCCTCAAGACTTGCCTCACTCACTCTATTAATTCTAGTGGGCATGAAGACAGTTACTGGGATGCAAATGCACTGCCTGTCGAGCCTCTTACTTTAATTTTTGAGATATCGGAAAAAGCCCATATTTCTTTGCTGGTCAGGAGTTGAGGGAAAAAATTGAAAGAGGTGAGAGAAGCCTATAAGGAAAGCAGATCACATTGCTCGTTCGATTTTTTATTATTTTTTTTTTTTGCCAAAAAGTGTACTTAACCCAGCACAGCCATAAGAAATTTATCAGATTAATACTTACCAGATTATCACACTGACAGAGCGAGGCTTTATATCCATGACACCAGTAGGTGGCAAATTTCCATATATGTAAATTAAAAAAACATTTTAAAAGCCCACAATG